TTTGACAACGATTTAATATACCGCCATAATTATTGCGATAATAATCCGGTCGTGTTGCAGAAACGCCAACCAAAAACTCGAGCGGACTGAACCGCATGTCACCGGCGTTGACGGGGAGCTCGGAGAGCGTATCCAGCAACCCCGGCGGCGGCGGTGGCGTCAGCGGTTTGGGCGTCGCGCAGCTCCAACAACAGTCGCAGGTGTCGTGCGACCGGCAGTTCGTGACCATCGTCAGCGAAAAACAGGTCAGAGTGATTGCCCTCCCGTCGCAGAACTGCGTCTCCAAACATGTGATACCCGACGCCGACTTCATGGTCAAATCCGAAGTCATATCCATGAAAGGTAATTATCCCACCGGCACCAGCTGCAGCACCATATTGTATCCCGTCTACGTTTGAGCGTGTCTGGGGGGTGTGGGTAGGTAGGTACCGGAGGAAGGAGATGGTATTTTGCGCAACTTTTATTACTTGTAATTTGCGCCACGAGTAGGTATACATTTAAGTACTACGTATGTAATTTGCGCCAAAATATAAAAATATAACACGTATTTTGCGCCACATATACTGATTGATTTTGGTATATTGCGCCACTAAAGAAAACAAAATGGAATATGTAATTTGCGCCACACTTTCAACTTTAATAGCAGTTGGAATTTTTAAGATTTAATTACCAGCAGATAAATTTAGTGATATCGCATAGGATATACAATAATACGTATACCGATGCGTCCGACGCGTGTCACATATCGTCGAATTATTTATAATTACGACTGATTTTTATATGTTTTATTAATTAACGACAATTTAGATGTTTAATATGCATGGAGTTTGATTTTTTATATACATTTATTTATAATTACGAGTTTAATATGACTGATTTTTATAATAGGTTTTATTACTTAACGATAACTTACATATTTAATATACATGGAGTTATTTATATTATTATAATATAAGTGGCGCAAATTACAATTTTAGTAGGTACTCTAGGGCACAGATTACATAATTCCTTTTTATTTAATTTTATTGGGCGCAAATTACCAAAATACATTTTTAGATGTGGCGCAAATTACATATATATATATATATTTTTTTTTTAAATTTTTTTTTTGGTTGATTTTGGCGCAAATTACATACGCCCACCGGAGGATCGTCAGAATAAAAAAATGAATAAAAAAAATAGTGCGATAGACGCGCGAGATATTATAATATGGTAGAGCTACAGCGTAATATTCGTTGTCGATTTGAAACTTAAATGGGTAACGTTTTATGCATTTATCATCGTGTGACTCTGTGATAGAAATTCATTTTTTTTTCTTTTTAGTTTAGTCATATTTACACGTAGGTACGTGATTTAGGGTACACGTCTGAAACATATAATATCGATCTCGTTTATGCGCATGTATACAGATTGCTGGCAATACAATTGAACGGTTCTTATATTTTTTAGGTTTCCCGCGTCAAACTATATAGCATAAATATAGGTATCTATATATATCATTACATATATTGGAAACATACCTATTATTATTGCAATATCCGTTGGACGGGTTAACTCCCCGAAAGTGCGAAATTTAATTTCAAGTTTTCAATATTAACGTCTTTACGCATGCAATAGCGCGTGATTTTTATTCTACAAATCCTCCCTGAAAGTCCTTTTTTCTCTTTTCTAGACAACGTTTTGTATTGCTGGTATCAATAAATATCCGACATTTATAATGTCTTTGAAAAAAAAAATCCTAGAATACGTATACACACATTATATACGACAATAAATTGGTCTTCCGGTTGAACAGTCTTCTACGACCTGCCGGTGCAGTCACACACACGTCATCAGCTATTGTAGGTCGTGGATTTCAACTCTCTTATCACGTCTCAAAAAATAAATAAAAATAGCTAAATCTCAACCTTATCTAATATTATACGTATACCTATGCTTTCAAGCTTCCTGACACGATAAATTCATTGTCGTTTGCAGATAGTGTATGCCTGGCGTGTTACATATCCAACGGCCACATTAACATCTACAGCCTGCCGAGTCTCAAGGTGCTGGTGGACGTAGACTTCCTGGCGCTCTCCGATCTGAGGTAGGTACCTGCGGTTAAAGCGACGACGTAATCGTTGCGCGCTCATTTTATATTTCCTTTCCCTTTCTGTTTCTATTTCTGTGTTTGCAGTAGGTACGTTTCATATGGAGACGCGGATCTAAACATATGATATAATAAATCGTAAATTAAAAAACGCGTACGCATAAGATATTATAAATATATTATCGTCATCGGGCTCGGCTTAAAGAGTACCTACGTGGCACGAGGGTGACATTTTTTTTTTATAAATATATTTTTTATCAAGAACGTGATGGTATCCGTCGGGTGCAGGGGTCAAATCAAATGGCATTTTATATCGCAGAACCAGACCCGATCGTGGTATACGATATACAATTATAATATTATATATATATATATATATATTTCGAGGTGTAGGTACACCTATACATGTGTAGGGCGAATGTGTTTCGCGACGCTATGCGAATTTTCGACTTACGTAGTGAATTTTAATCTCAATACTTACGCGCGGTCGTATGTCATTTTCCTTGAAATTAAACAAAATGCCATCCCGTTGAAAAATCGGTTTCGGAAGCAGATTAAGCATAGTTTCAATTTCCTGCTTTTTATCCGGCCAATGAGAAAAAAAATCGATGCTCAAGAAATTACTACAGCCCGGGTAGTGTATATACATTTATTTATTTTTCGTTTGGCGCTGAAATGGCATTACGCCAAGTCGACCGCATCGAAATGACCTTGTTCGTTTCACTCTCTGCGAATATCATTACTTAGTATTTTAAGGTATAGATATCGTATATAGATAAGCGTATTATGTGTACTAGTTTATTATAATATCCGATGGTTATAAAATGTGAGGTGTTTTTCTTATATTTTCATTCGATTTTCTCAACCCCCTAAACTATTGTTTTATATTTTCTCCCAAATTATTTACCATTTCAGAACGATTTCGATGTTATATATTCCAAACTTACCAGCATAAAATAATATTAGTTGACGATTAACACTTAACAGCATATATATATCTATATATATATATAGTATTATATACTGCTAAAAGGTGCCAATAAACGTATTAATTCAAATACGTTTTGATATCAAAAAGTGTTTACGGGATATAAACTAGTTTTTAGTTGTTCCAAGTCTAGTTGGACTTATTATTATTATTATTAATAATATTATGTGCAGAAATATCGTACAATAATAATAATATTTCATACCATAGATGTATAGTATATTTTTATGATATTATCATGACAACATTAAACAATGTTGTGCGGGTGATGGTTATTTTTTGATAAATTTTTGTACTTAAAGAATATAATTATGATCAGTTTTCTTTGAGACGGTCATATTGTGTGAAATTGATACACGGCTGACTGTGAAATGTAAAATTATTTAAAAAAAAAAAAATACTTAACGATTTGGTTTATTGTCGCCTCGGACTATGTGTTTATTAGTGTTTATTATCTCTATGGTTTGTATTGTGGCCAGTTTTCAGACCCAGAAACAGGGCATAGTTGACCCAATGTTATCCATATGGGGCCAACAGATGTTTGTCAATGAAGACACTGACCAGTAAGTCGTGAACACTAGGAACGCCATACATCATGACACACAAACACAATATACACGACACACACACACACACATACACACACACGACACACACACACACATAATACATGTCAGTGTATATATAGAGAGAAACGAGCTGTTAGACGGTCAATATTTTAAGACTAACTACTAGTTAAAATAAACTTAATGTAATTAAACGAATATGCTTACATATTTTTTGATATTAATATCGAAATTGTATTTTCTTGTATTTCTTATCTGATATTGGAATATAAGTTGGTTTTTTTTTGTTAACAAGAATATTTTTACCACAAATGACTATACTAAACATATTACCTATTTTACAATTTTAACTATTTTAATACTAGACAAAATMAATACTAATTCTAAAAAAAACACAAAAAATATCAATATAATTATCTTTTAAAACCAATTTATCTATAATATGAATACAACCAGCGCGTATTCACAATACACATAAGACATAAATATTGTTAGCATCCTCTTCAATGTCTCTTTTTATTTTACATCACACAACTTAAATATTTCAATTTATTGTTCCGTTCCAATAACCCGATGGTTTTGATTTTATCAATAGTGTTATTGAATTCTCGGTTTACGAGTATACAACAATTTAAAATGACATTTATTATTTTCATCGAATTCTATTTCGAAACAGAATACTGCTACGAGCGTTATAAATTTATAATATCGTCTAGAATTTGTAGCCCGTAAATTCCACGTCAATGTTATACACGCATTGATTTTTATTTTTTAATAAACTACCTTGTCGACGATTTCATTTCTTAATATTACAGGTGATACACTTTCCAGATTATTCATACGTCAATATATATTATATTTACAATACCCATGAATTTTATTTGCCTCGCGAGTTTAATTCGAACTTTGAACCTGAATATACATTTCGCTGCATATTGAAACCTTATTCGACGAATAAAGTTACGATGCTTATCATTTAATGGCGACTTGCGTTAATATTATCCAAAAAGTTTTCATACCACGCATAATATACCCCATAACTCGAACCGTATTATTACAAACATCAAAGTTTTGAAATAATATTAAAATGTTCACAGTTCCCTATACATAAATGTGTATGAAAAAATAAAATGATTTCATTTCCGTGTCATTAATGTAATAAACTACGCTTCAATCTATAATATAACTCAAGGTAGGTATTTTCTTGACAGGACATACGAGCCATGCAAGTTACATAAAACTGAATCGATATATATATACTATACCTATAGTGTAATCTATGGAAGACATCTGTATGGTATTACAACCTTTTTGTTGATCAAGCCATCACAGACACTCATACAGCGCGTGATACATAGCCACAATAACGTACAAAACATTATATATAATGTAAATATACATATATATATTATAAAGTATATACTGCAGCAATACACCCCCTCCCCGCCCGCCAAGTACGTCTAACGGCTCGGGCCTGACACAAATGTACAGTAACACACTTGCACTTAGATCTTTTCTGGTTTTGATTTACCTTCARATTTACCCTTGACCTACCTTACTTAGCTATACCGTCTCCTTTGGCATGGATACCTATAACCCAACAACTCCGTCCCATCCTACAGCTCGCGCCCAAGTGAACGTATATAATACCTATGTATTGTTTTATAATAAAATGCAGCTGCATTATGTGACGCTCGGCTTTTTTGACAACCCTTCGCCACCGCCCGTGTACGGCTTTTCCCGTCGTTTTCGTGCATATTATGTTCTCGTGTTGTTGATTGAATCCCAGTCCGTTTGTATTATATTTGCTATTTTAGTTTTATATTTTTGAACCGAAATCAAATTATCGTCAGAAGCTTTATAATGCTTCCAGTGCGTTTCAAAAGTCCGAGCAACAACCTTGGACTTTATAGATCTTTCGAAATATTCGGAAATCCCGGAAGTTTACTATACATTTGAGAACGCCGGTTCCGGAAATTTCTCGTACCTATACGATGTGTAATATAAATTAAATATTTTACAATGTCCGTTAAGGATTATCGCCGGACTGCTGAAACGTACAAATAAATTACAAAAACAATATAAAAAGAATCATTGTTGATTATTATTATTCTGATCCGTGCAGCACGTTAACCCAATGCTTTGATATATACCAATAATTTTTGATTTAATTTTTTTTTTTGCATGAACTTCACTAACGTTTTTATCTATATTACTAAATTATATATATGTTATAAACATATATAATATTACCTAGCACTCGACTGTAAATATTGCAACGAGCTATCTGATTTGATTTTTTACTAGGAAACTATCGCGACCAAAGTCTAAACGAAACGAGGCAATCATATATACAACACCTATCACTCACCCTAACATAAGTCTATAATCTTCTTAGCTATATCTGATATCCTATATGTTATATACTTTCATTTCCCGTTAACCTTCAAACTATTATCGTGCACGTCTTCGAAATCCAGAAACTCGTATACAAATCGAAATACAGTCATTCAACGCAGACGCATTGAAAAAAGTTAACGCGACAATAATATTATTATTATATAGTGGTTTGGTGTGACGCGGTCGTACGCTCAACTGCGGAAACGCTTTGAGTGTACGTACTGGCAGATGCTGCTAGCTCCCGGATGGGTGACCACCCGGGTTTTYAGCAACAAATCCTTGTCACACATACATTACGGGTTCCAAACCAACCATTTCCCTCCCCCTAAAAATAGCTAACGGCCATAAATGCCAGGCTTAGTGATCAGTATAAAAACAAAAAAACAGTAAATATTATAACTTTAAATTTCTTACGAGTTTTTGGATACATTACGAAGACCCTCTATCATTTGCACACCAAACCTTTATTTTAGAAAAGCACAATAAATATATATATATATATGTACAAATACAACGGAACAGGATCAAGGCGCTCCTATTAGTTCTCGCCGAATAGTAAAAAGACTTAACACATATAATTATTGTATATACTATATTACATTATACTTGACAAGCTAAACACATATAAATATCATATTTATGTACAGTTAAATAAATCAATTGTGTGTGTATTATTACACAGTATTAGTCATTGTGTCGAGTGTAATTTTGTACAAAGGCCACAACAAAAATTAGGGTTTGCGTTATTTTTCACCAAATATATTATTATATAGTCTATAGCGTCTGTAGTGTTTTTTAAAATATTTTTTTATTTGTTATTTTAATATTAATACTATTTATTTTATTATTATTATTATTTTTATTATTGGACACTGGCAAATGTATGAGTGTGAATATGTTCCAAGTTATTATTTTTTTTATTTAATAATTTCGTTTCGTTATAATTATTATTATTATTGTCATTATTATTTGTTATTATTATTTTACCATTTTTATTTATTTTTTAAACTACGTTTTTACGTCATACACGATCGTTAACGTTTATGTTTGTGTGTATATTTCTATAGAATTGCCAAGACGTTTTGCTTCAGTAATCGGGGACATGGGCTGTTTTTGAACACGCCGTCAGAGGTGCAGAGATTTTCTGTTTCCACTGAATTCTGGTGAGTCTTATTTATTGTGACGTTGTTTTTCTCTTGACATAATACAATATTTAACTGATGTTTTAGCCAAAGTCTACCAGAAATGATGGGTGAACTGTTCCAACCGCACGAGATGCCTGAACCGCCTAAGCAAAGTTTCTTTATAGGACTTTTTGGAGGTGGTTCTAGATCCATCGACCGTGAAGAATTATGTATGTAACATTGTCATTAATTAAATACATTTATAATTAGGACACCTGCCCTTAACCTTTTACTTTTTAACCCCGTTATCCACTAACATAAAAGTATAATACCATAAGTCAAATGCTAACGATGTACTATATTCTATGTCTATATTACATTAATATTATCATGACCTCACTTCTCGTGGACAATTTTAAATTCTATACTTAAAAAATTGAATGAATTTTATTGCTCCAAATTATAATATTGAATTCACGTTGGATATCTTATTTCAGTCTTCATAAATAATTTTTACTCTCCATAGGTACCTATTTCTCTACTTTAAATATTGGTAAATGTAACAAAATTGTTATCGTAATTTGACGGCATTATTTCGTATATCACTCAACGCCTAAATATTTTATTCCTATCTGAAAAACAAACAAAAACCCGTTTCAGTACTGTATTTAATTTGATCTCGGCCAAAGRCAAATTATACATTATACATTCCCATTTGATATTCTCATGACAGCTCGGTGGCTTAAAAGATCTTTATTCCAATAGTAATAATAGGTACTTGCAAATGGATATTGTGTCCTGCGCAGCTGGTCTAGAATCGGAAATRGTTTCTTCTTCCCTACGATTAAGACGTTATTTGTTGCAATTTTGATCGGACGTTGTCAAATACATATAAGTTGTATACATTACAAAACATATAAACATATACATATATTTTTATATTATAATGRCTACATAGCTACTGCAATATCTGTTCGTCGAAAACCGTGCAGTGTTATAAAAACATTGCCAGCTACAGCAATMCCGAYGGCTGAATTATATTGCGCGAATCTGTAAATCGCAATATAATACATGTGAAATGACTCTGATTCGTATCAACTGTGTATGTCGCTTGTAAAATCCCGTATACTTTTTGCCTTCGATCCATTTATTCTTTCGAGCAATTACTTTTAGAAATTTCTCCGCAGCGGTGGTTTTATTTCCTATTTGCTCTCTTGTCTTCATCAATCACTGTTATACCGTCAGTAACATCATGCACTGTGGTTTCTTTATTTCAGTTTTCTGGGTTGAAACGGAAGGTTCGAATTTATGGACTAAACAATATCGATCAACGTGTGTTTTTTTT